TGGACCGCGAAGCCGAGCCAGCCGCGGCCCAGAGGCTCCGCCCGCCCATTAACGGGCCCGCCGTCGCCCGACCGGCCCTGCGCTCAGCCCCCGGCGCGTGGCCGACCCGGCGCGCAGACCCCGGCCCCGGCCTCGGCCCTGCGCCCAGCCCCAGCCCCCGCCGCGGCCCCGGCCCCGGCCTCGCCCCTGCGCCCAGACCCAGCCCCGGCCCCGGCCTCGCCCCTGCGCCCAGCCCCAGCCCCCGCCGCGGCCCCGGCCCCGGCCTCGGCCCTGCGCCCAGACCCAGCCCCCGCCGCGGCCCCGGGACCGGCCTCGCCCCTGCACCCAGACCCAGCCCCGGCCCCGGCCTCGGCCCTGCGCCCAGCCCCAGCCCCGGCCCCGGCCCCGGCCCCGGCCTCGCCCCTGCGCCCAGACCCAGCCCCCGCCGCGGCCCCGGCCCCGGCCTCGGCCATGCGCCCAGCCCCCGCCGCGGCCCCGGCCTCGCCCCTGCGCCCAGCCCCGGCCCCTGCGCCCAGCCCCCGCCGCGGCCCCGGCCCTGGCCTCGGCCCTGCGCCCAGCCCCCGCCGCGGCCCCGGCCTCGCCCCTGCGCCCAGCCCCGGCCCCTGCGCCCAGCCCCCGCCGCGGCCCCGGCCCCGGCCTCGCCCCTGCGCCCAGCCCCGGCCCCGGCCCCGGCCCCGGCCTCGCCCCTGCGCCCAGCCCCCGCCGCGGCCCCGGCCCCGGCCCTGCGGCCCCGGCCTCGCCCGCCCCCCCCTTCCCGCCGCGGACTGACGCGGAGGCCCGGCCTGGGCGGCCGCCGACCCCGCGAGCGCCCGTTCCCTCAGCGAGCGTGGCTCCCCACCGCCCCACACCTTCTCCTCATGGCGGACGCTCCAGGCAGCCGGGTCCCGACCTAGGCTCCTCCACACCGACCGAGAGCGCCAGACACAGCCAGCGCCGACGAGCTCGCTCCGCGGCGGAGGACAGCGCTAGGAAACTACTCCGCGAGCCGTTGCGCCCGGCAGAATTTCAAACCCAGCGGAAAGGCGGAGCGGCGCTGCGATTGGTGCGGCGTCCGTCACTCTTCACAGAACCCGCAATGGCCCCAAACCCTCCGGCGTGCGCGGCGACTGCGCAGTGAGGACTCG